TGTCCTTTGAACAGGACATTGGTGATTTACCTTACATACTGATGTGACCCTGAGAGAGGTCCACTTCTCATCCTTTGATTTTTTTTATTCCAAGTCATTGTGTCTTTGACAGCCATTGGCAAGGGCGTGTGAATTCTGAAGTGACCCTTTATGAGGACACACAGGTCAGAATAGAATAGAATATCCTTTATTGTCACATGTACTCCATTGTATGAATATAGTGAAAAGCTTTTACAATGTCTGCTTCTTATGGCGCCATCTTCGCTAGATACAAATCTTGGATACAGAAAAGAGGAATAAAAAGTAGTTGCATTTTACAGAGTTTAAAAATAAGTTAGCAATAAGACATCATTAAAGGATTGACATCACAGTCAGGTAAAAATTTTCAAATACACAATAAATTGTAGCAACTCAGTGCAAGGCCTCCACACATGGTCTCAACGCCTGCATCAGACTTGAGTTCAACAACTGTCCCCACTCTGCTCCAAACATCCAGTCCACTCCATAGCGGCACTCAACTCTTCCAAGATAAGATCCAGGATTGCCTCCCCAGCGCTGGTCTCCGGCCGGGACTCATTGCCTGCCTGCTGCTCCAGGATTCGCTCCCCTTGCCTGCCGCTGCTCCAGGATTCGCCTCCAGGGCTAAGGGATGGGAAAAACAGAGAAAAAAAATGAAAAAGAAATAAAAAGAACAGGCAGAGCAGAAGATTTCCAGCTGGAGCATTTTATTCTGTTGCCGTCTGGTCAGAAACCTGTACTTGGGTAGGCAAAACCTCCCATTGCACTGATTGCCTGACTTATTGAAAGAAGTTATTCTTTGGCAGTAGATACTGTACTGAGGACATGGCATTTGTTTGCTCTCCTTCCTTTTCTTCCTCTTCTCTGCACACCTCATGCCAAGGATCAACATCTGTTATTGTGAACCCAATCTAGTCACTCTTTCCTGATAGCTAATTTCCTCTAGTCTTGACAAATCTCATTACGACCCTGTCCAATACATTCACATTCAGCCCATAATGTAGAATATACCAGAATTGTATGCAGTACTCTACTTCTGGCCTAATAATTGCACATACCGTCCTAGTCTAACCTCCCTGCTTTTATATTCTACACCACTTACATGGCTGTCACTGCATTGCTACTGACCTTGATTCCCCTGGTATTCCTGGAGCTGAGATCCACGCTCCAGTGGCTCTGGATGGCTTTGGTCTCGTACTGGACATTGACCAATACTTGAATGACTAATTGCGCCACCGTCATCCAATCATTCCTATGTCACCAACATATCCCTAATTCTGGTCACCCTCAACATCCTGAGCCCTCTACTCCATCAGTCACCTAAAACCATTGTAATGGAGGGCCAATTCCTATCTGCAGCTCACTTATGAAAACCTGAAATGCTCCCAATTTGAGAAATCTCCAATATGAGACAACCATGTCCCAGACCTTGATCAGGTCCACATAAAAAGCACAGACACTTGTCTTAAAAACACGATGTATTCCATTGCATAATGGCAATAGATACAAGTTGCATTGACTAGTTTTAAATTCTGCAGTATTTAAATATTACTCTGTTTATTTCAAATATTTGATGATTCTGCTGTAATAAATGCTGATTATTTTAAAGCTTGTAATCTTGCATTAAAACAATGCTGCTTTAATTCTTTTGTCTTAAATTTCCATCCGGTTTTACATCCTATAATAACAATTTTGCAGCACTTTTAAGTTTTTTATTGCAATGTTGTGTGATATATAAAGTTCTAAATTCTGCACTAGAACAATACTGTATACACTGGGAATTAACCCTTTTTAAAAAAACAAAATGGTATTTTTTTCAACTTCTAGAGGTTCAGTTTACCTCCTTCAGCAGCCAAAATGGAGGTTTCCTGTCTCTTCAGAAACAAAATGATATTTTCCCATCTTTCATAGTCTAAATACCCTTTTACATTTTTAGGTAAACCTCGTGGCTGCAACCTTAATAAATACCAGTTTTGAAATTGCCAAGGAAAAGTTGCATTCAATTCAAAATGTTAACTTTGTTTCTCACTCGACAGATGGTGCTAGGCCATCTAGGTATACCCTTTTGAGTATTTACAGGACCTACTATTTCTTCAGAATTCCAGCATTCACTGTGTTTTATTTTATTCTATGTGACAAATTAGTTCTTTCCAGTAAGTTATCTTTCTTGTATTCTCACTGGGGGTGTGAAAGAAAGGTGACAAACCTCCTTAGATACAGAATAAGCCTTCAAGTCTTGGCCGGTGCAATCAGAGCCAGGTCTAATTCCATTGGTTACAGTTAAAAATCAGATGGCCAATAATGATGCAGTGACTGCATCAGTTTACCGTATTTATAGAAAGCATGTGGCAAGACTTTTGAAGGTGGAAATTTATTTAACCATCACATGCTCCAAAACTGTTGTGACATTTTCAATTATTACATTGAAAAAGGGCACAGACTGTTAATTGAATGAAGATACATGTATGTGTCCTAATGGGAGTAAACTATTTTCCATAATTTTTTAAATATGATGTTTAGGAAGATAAATATGAGAAAAGTATTAGTGAAGAAAATACTTCTATCACCTTGCTGCAATGTTGTTCCTCTATTGCTTATTTTGTGAAAGCAATTAATTACGCTGCAGTACAGCTCCACTGATAACAGCATACAGAATGCAGCTTGTATGTCCATACACAGAATGTGGCTGAGCATACAAATGTGATTGCCATTGTAGTTGAACCTGAACTTACTCTTGCCTGATAATTGCTCAGGTCTATTTCTACGCAAGCATTAATTAGCCACTAGAGGTTTAACTGACTTCCTAACAGGCATTCCCGCCACTCCCTGAAGATGCTCCCATCAGCCCAAACTCAGTTGAGAACAGTTAGTTTTGCACAGACCAGGGATCAGAACAACAATAGAATTACAGAACTTGCTGTTTTGTAAAAATCAACGCCAACTATTTTGTTATTGCAGAAAATTTTACTATGTTTAATGTTAATCACCAGGAATCATTTGTGTTCTAATCTATATTCTGATCGTGAACTGTCAGATTCAGACCATTTGAACACCTGGAAATTTTGTCAAAAGTCTTCTTCATCTACCATATTTTTAGGATACATTGAATATTTCTTCATTTCTTTGTAGATTTAATCTTACATATAAATTGTCACAACAGGAGTTTAAATGCACCCTGGTCAGCATATAAATGAAAGTGCCTTAAATAGTAGTTAGAATCATACTCACTATTAGTCCTCTTCTGAACAGCCATGAGATGGAAGTGTGGAGAATTAGAAGAATTTGATGCTTCAGAGTATTATTCTACTTGTGTGAGGAGGTGTTGCCTCTTTCGCTGCGATGACAAAGAGAAGCATTCTATTTGGTTTTTAAGTGTAAGCCTTCAGTACTGTGATTGGCTGCAAATAATTTATATGATAGACTGATCAATTTAGTTTTATTTTTCCCGACCGAGGTTAATGAGAATAAAAAACTTTAAGAACTTGAATTTCTGATCGTTTAAAATAAATTCTCCAGTCTCTGGCAAAATAAACATTCCATGTGGTTCTTTGTATTCAAGTTAAGTATCAGAATTATATATTCGAGGAAAAAAGCTCCAAATCAAACTCTCTTTTTATTTACTCTCAATTTCATAAACATTCAAAATCAAGACAACACCAATTCCAGTACACGACTGGTAACATATCTGAAAATGTTACATACACCAAAATACTGAACAGTTTGCAACACCAGAGAAAAATAATCCAACAATTTTAAATGCAGCACAGGTACAGTTCTGAGTTCTGGAAAATAGCCAGCAACAGCATGGTCAAGAAGATTACATACCACACTTTGATTCATTTTCTTCAGTTACAATAGAAATATGTTAATTATGTAAACATTTTACAATATATCAGTAGCAAAGATAAAACACTTATACATGTTCTAATTGCTTTTTAAATTCACAGTCACATTGAAAACAACAACTAATAACACTTTAATAAAGACCAAAATTTCTGACTGGCAAGTGAAGATCTTGGTCATGAGTGCATGGTTATAAAATTGGTTCCAGTGAGCTTTCTGTTGCATTTTATTTAATCTTTCTATTGCACATTGCATTATAAAACAAGGGCTTTTGGCTTCTTGATTCAGACTTGATTGCCTCTTCCAAACCTCACTTCATTGCCTCAGTCTCAGTTCTAGAATATAGTTGCTTACACTCAGACTTATCTTTGAGCCAAAGGCTTGTTAAATGAAATTTTACACCTAACCCACAGCTCACCAACAAAGTCTTTTGCTCTTAAAACTTTTGTATGCAATTTTGTTTTACAAAAACATTTTGGCCTTGGTTTGCAAATAAAACAATTTTTCTAAAATGACATTCCACTTACTGCTATTTGACACTATTTACTTTATATAATGGAAATACCCAACATCTTTTACATAAAAACATTGATAAATCAGTAACAGCTCATTTTTTTGACATATAATTTTGTGTATGATTGACTGTAGACAGCTTCTTTTAACCTGATTTGAGATTTTCACTACAGATTTGAAATTATTTTAAGTTGCAGAATGTCTGTTGCTATTTTACAATGAAAGCATTTTTTTGAAAACAGAACTTTGGAATTATATAACCAAATGTATCCAATGTAGCACAGTCTATGATAGGCCTGCCACATTAATTTGACATCTCCCAATGAAATGGGAATGTAAAAACAGCACTGTTTTAGAATCAATGCCAATTACCTAGCTTGGATACTAGATATGTTATTTTGTGCCAAAGAAACCTAAAGTGGAATTCATTTTCCCATGCATACTGATCATTTGCTCTGTGGGCGATGAGGACTGGAAGGCCAAATCATTGTATGTATTGTAATGATAAATAGGCCTAATTTTCCTCATCAGAAGAAGAATTAAAGTTCAGAAGTAATTTGAGTCACACCTAAATCCTGAAAGTCATCCCTTGCTTGGAGTGCCAAAGATGACATTTCCACTGCTAGTCATACTTCCCGGTGTGCATTCCCTACACTATTGCGGAACAATGTATTATGTGTGGTATTCCTTACTCTGCTGCTGGTCTGCAACTCGAGCTTCATCCCCGAGGAACAGCAAAAATCTTTGAAGCACCTTTTAAAATTTTCATCCAGAAAAGCATAGAGAATGGGATTAAGGCTGCTATTGGTATAACCAAGTGCTACCGAGAAATAATAGCAGGCAGATACTACTGTAGTTTCAGGCACATCTGTCAAAGCTTTGACTAATACAAAAATGTGAATGGGAGTCCAACAGATGATGAAAACTGCTACAACAATGAGGACCATATGTGTGATTCGACGCAAGTTTCTGTCTTTTTCTCTGGAACCAGAAAGTAGCCTCACACTCTTTAAACGCAGAATCATCAGGCTGTAGCATGCAGAGATGATGAGAACAGGGATAACAAAGGCAAAGATAAAAACACAGATTTTCAGTATGGTGTCCCAGTACCAGTAGGGTTGTGGGAATTTCAACTCACATTCGACACTACCTATTGAATAAGAAAAACAAAAGTCTGCCGTTATGATGACATCTGGAGTCAAAACTATTACAACCAAACCTTCTTAACTGAGATCGTTATTTTATTTTAAATGATAAATTTAATTTCCTTGAGGGATTTTTCAATCAAAATAATCAATTTACTGAATAGCCCACTCAAATGAAGAAATTATCAACAAGATTCCTTTGTTTTTGTAGCTGTTGAGAGAGAATAGTTCCAATTCATAGAAAAAACAGCCATGGTCAACTAAATAAAAGGGATGGCATAAAACTAAAAGAAAGGGCTTACAAAGGTGCAAAGAAAACACAGATGTTGCCTAATGGGAAAGATTCAAAGACCAGCAATGTGCCACAAAGCAGCATTATACGAGCTACTCAAAGGGATTATATGAAAAGAAATTTGCAAGGGACATCAAAACTAATAAAATAAATTTTATAGTAACATAAAGTGGGTGGTCAGGAGCAATGTTGGCCCACTGAAGGTTGAAGGTGAGGATATTATTGATGACTGCTGGGAAACTGAGTCAGGTTAAATAATTATGTTGCTTCAATATTTACAATAGAAAAGAAGAATAACTTGCCAGAAGTCCTGAGGAAATTAATAGTAGATCGGGGACAGGCACTCATAAAATTAATGTAAGTAAAATATTAACAGTGAGGAAATTAATAAAACTAAAGAATGACAAATCCCCAGAACCTGACAGCTTCCATCCATGAGTATTAAAGGAAGTAGGGAGCATGGTGCAGGTGGCCTAATGAGAATCTTTCCCAGGTTACAGGAGTTGTCCCTCTGGATTGGAAAATTGTACCTGTCACTTGGTTTTTTTAAGAAAGGTGAAAGAGGAAAACTAGGAATTACAGACCAATTAGTGTAACATCTATGGTGAGAATATTGTTGGAGTCTGTAATTAAGGATTGGATAACTAGACATCTTGAAAATTTTCATTTAATCAGGGACAGCCAGCAGGGACTCATGGCACGTAAGTTATGCCTGACAAACCTTGCTAAATTTTTTAGAAGAGATAACTAAGATGATGGACAGAAGAATGTTTATGGATGTTGTTTATAGAGAGTTCCAGAAAAAAGTCCCATATAAGGACTTAACTAAGGTTGAACCCCATGGAATTGAGGGCAAATTACTGGCATGGCTAGTAAATTGGTTGATTGACAGGCAACAGAAATTTGGAAAAATGCAAAATTATCAAATTGTCAGAATGTGACTAGTGGCGTCCCATAAGGAGCTGTATTATGACCTCAATTATTTACATTATTTATTAATGACTTGGATAACGGCATAGAAAGTCATATCTTCAAATTTGCTGATGACACAAAGTTAGGTGACATTGTAGACGATGTAGATGATAGCATAAAACTACAAAAAGGATATTGATAGACAAGATAAATGGGCAAAATCATAGCAGATTTCAATGTAAGCAAGAATGAGATTATTCATTTTGGACTGAAAAAGGATAGCTCAAGGTACCTTCTAGATGATATGAAGTTAAACGCAGTGGCTGTCTAAAGAGATTTGGGAGTTTAGGTGCATAGTTCTTTAAAATGGCATGAGTAGGTGCAGAAAATAATCAAAAAAAGCTAATGGAATGTTGGCATTTATAACTAGATGACTGAATTATAAGAATGGAGAAGTTATACTGCAATTGTACAAAATCCTGGAGTACTGTGAGCAGATCTTGGCACCAACTTTTGGAAGGATATATTGGCTTTGGAGGGAGTACACCATGGGTTTACAAGAATGACACCTGACTTTAGGGGTTAATTTATGAGGAGAGATTATACGAATTAGGCCTGTTTTCTTGAGAATTTAGAAGGTTAAGGGGTGATCTGATTGGCGTTTTCAAGATATTAACAGGAAAACACAGTTTGATAAGCAATTTCCACTGATTGGAGATTCCAGAACTAGAGGGCATTGTCTAAAATTGGAGACAGACTGCTCAAGAGAAATGTTAGGAAACATTTCTACACTCAAAGGCTGGGAGAGATTTGGAACTCTCTTCCACAAATGATGGTTGATGCTAGGTGAGTTGTTAACTTTAAATCTGAGATAGATAATCTTTTTGTTAAGCCAAGGTAATAAGGGATAGGGGCCAATGGCAGTTATATGGAGTTAGGCTATAGATCAGCCATGATCTCACTGAATGGTGGAACAGACTCAAGGAGCTGATTAACCTACTTCTATTCCTATATGCATGCAAGGAACTCAGGACCCTGGAGCAACTTTGCAATGATGTTAGTAGCTACACATCACTCAGCATAATTAGCAGAGTGGGCAGAGTCAGCCTAATCTAGATTCTGAGAGAATCACATGAGCACATGTATATGAACACAATTAGAAGCTAGCTTAGTCCTTTCCTAAAGTAATTATAAAATCAAAGCCTGGTATATTTATGATAATCATGTGTAGCATTATTTAGTATTAATATGCAATAAATATGGATATGCTGAAGTCTAAGTCTGAAGACAGTTTCTGACTGCCTTTTCCTCAACATGTCTCACTTGAACCCAAACTCATTGTGTGGCATCCAACTACACAATGATAAATATCTTTTGTTTAATGGGAATCAGAATAAACACAGGTCACAAGTGCATAACAGGAAAACAATAAGCAAATACAAAGGTAAGTCTCACTTAAAATAGTCCATAGTGTAAAGTCCTTGCATTACTACCAAACTAACAAGATACTTGTTATAGGTATACAGTTTCACATTATGCTGATCTTTATTCATGTCTTGTGATAATATTCAGCCACAGATTTGAACTTTCAGGTTTCATAGGTATAGTTATCACCAGTAGAGCACACTTACACAAATCCTGTGCCTTGAGTCCCAGCAGTCTTGATAGTGTAGCTTCCGCAGTTCCTTTTCAACCGAACAACCAAAAACACCTCAGTTCATTATTTGGCCACCAATGGGAAAACACCCAGCTCTTTAACATCTCCAAATTTTCATTTGTTTTCCAGATTTTGGACCTTTTTAGCACACATTGCCTATCTCTGTCTCCTTTGCTGCCAAAAGGAAAATCGACATCTTCCAGTAGTTTGCATCTTCTCCTCATGAGAATTTTCCATGTTTCTCTTTCTCTTTCTGCATTCTCTTTGTGTCTGCATCAGTTCTCTGGTGTCTTCACTCTCCAGTCCTCTCTTCTAGTTCTCCTTTGTGTCTGCAACTCTCCTTTATATCTGGCAGCCACATGACTCTTTCCTAACCTCCTTTCTATTAGTAATGCTTCCAGCTAGGTTAGGGGTCACCAGGTAATATTGCCACTTATTATTTACTTTTTCTAAACTCTGACCCCCCCAAGAGAATTACAATTGATCCGTTTCCAATGGATACAAACTATTAAAAGTTATTTTCAAATGTACTTTAAAACCATTACAGGTTCTTGAACATTCTTCTTGTCAAAAACTTCACATTTTGTTAATACTTTTGACTTTCAGGGCCATTCACAGGAAATAACAATATAAAGGGAAAGCAACCTTTTTGTTTTATGAGAAGACACTGCTGACCGATTGGTAAGTGAATCCTGATTGTTAGAGGCATTGCTATGGAGAAAGCACCAGTTAGCTGATGACTGACAGCTAACTACCAAGCTTTGTTAAATTCAAACCAGGCAGGTTGACTCTCACTGGTCAAGGCTGTGCCCTGAAGAATGAGTCTGAGAATGGCTGCCACCTATTTTGTCGAGTTGAAACAAGTGCAAGATGTGTATATGTTCTGTCTGTCTGCAAAATATTATGTTTCTGCATAATAATGTATGTAACTTCCATTGCTTTCTATTCAAACAATATAAAAAAATTATTTTTCTCCTGAAGATTGGTATTTCTTGTAATTGCCCTGATGATGAAAAGCTTTCAACAAAATGTCTTTTTTTAGCAATACATATGGTCTTTACTATCAATTGATTATGTAATTACAGATTTCACAAACCTTTAGTGAATGTATAAGTTTTATTTACTGTAGTGCATCTGGGCCAAACAGCGTTTGCTTAGGATTATCCTCTGGAGTCATGCTATATCACATATACTATCTATGGACAGAATCTTTTACGGTCCTGAATGATGTGAGCTGTGGTGAAAAATCTGTGAGAATCACATGAAAAGTCCAGAGACGCCTTTCTTGAAGTCAGGAACACCTAACTGTATTCACTTACTAAGTTCTGGACATTGAGATGAGATTCTCGCCATATATAGTCATAGAGTTATACAGCACCAAATAGACCCTTCGGTTCAACTCGTCTGCACCGACCAGGCATCCCAATCTGACCTAGTTCCATTTGCCAGAATTTGGCCAATATTCCTCTAAACATTTCCTATTCATATACCCATTCGGATGCCTTTTAAATGTTGTAATTGTACCTGCCTCCACCATTTCCTCTGACAGCTCATTCTATACACACACCACCTTCTGCATGGAAAAGCTATCCTTTGTGTCCCTTTTAAATCTTTCCCCTCTAATCTTAAACCTGGTCCTCTAGTTTTGGACACCCCCATCCTAAGAAAAAGACCTTGGCTATTCACCCTATCCATGCCCCTCATAATTTTATAAACCTCTACAAGTTCACACCTCAGCCTCTGATATTCCAGGGAAAAAAGACCCACCCTATCAGCCTTTCCCTATAACTCAAACCCTCCAGTCATGGCAATATCCTTGTAAATCTTTTCTGCACCCTCTCAAGTTTAACAACATCCTTCCTATAGAAGGCCAATCAGAACTGTAGGCAGTATTCCAAAAGTGGTCTCACCAGTGTCCTGTACACCACAACGTGACATCCCAACTTCTATACTCAATGTTCTGACCAACAAAGGCAAGCATACAAAATGTCTTCTTCGCTACCCCGTCCATCTGCGACTCCACTTTCAAGGATCTATGCACCTGCACCCCAGGTCTCTTTGTTCGGCAATACTTGCAATGACACTACCATTAACTGTATAAGTCCTGCCCTGGTTTACCTTACCAAAATGCAACACCTCTCATT